TCTTGATCTGGTTTATTCAACAATGAATACACTCAGTTAAGCTTCTAGTGTTAAGAGAAAAATACCAACCCCTCTCTGTGATGAGTCAAGGATTTGTCTCAGCCTCTTAAAACCAGTGGTGGAATGAAGCAGAAGCACTTTCATCTTTGAACTCTACGTCATACTTGCTTCCTCCTTTTGCCCGGAATAAACAGAATGATTAATAGTCTTATTATTACTTACTTTGCTAAATAGCCTGCCACTTTTTTTGTGTAGCTGTTCCTTGGCAATGTAATCACCAATCACCAGACCTGGACCCAGAGTCATGGGGACCATTAAACAAAGGTCTGAAGAGTACCCCGAGAAATAATTAACTTGATTCAGCTTCTGTAACTGCTTTTGCATGGGAACCTCATTCCCTTTCCTCCTTACCCCCTCCTCAGTTTCCATTGTAATTACCATATCAACAGAGAGTTGATTATGAATTTTGCCTATATAAGCACCCTTCTCCTTCCACTCTAGGCTGTGGGGTTTTGAGAGACCTGAGTCCCTCTGCATGCAGTTGGCTTAATCAATAAAACGCCAATAAATCTGGTTCTCTTATTTCTCACTGATTAGACTATAACAACATATTGCTACCTGTATTGTACAACTGTATTCCTACTGTTTGCATTACTGTGGCTGGGTCAAGTCCTGGTCTTCCTTTCAACTTCTAGGCTACAAGTTCTCAAGAGCAAGACTGACATGAAGGCATTTTGGGACAAAGAAATAAGTTATCTGTTGAAGATAATGTGTATAGTATTCTAAACAGGACTGGTGAGAAATGTATACATGTTGGAATATTCACTTTGCAAGCTAAGTGACATGTGTGATTGAATGTATAAAATAAATTGAAATAAAAAAATAAAGACTAGTACTAATTCATCTTTGCACTTCCATGTTGTGTAGTTTGGTGTTTGCTGCATGTAAGGGACTCAGTAAGTACTTACTGACCGAAGGAGTGGCACTGGCTCTCATGACTCTTAGATTAATTCTGACCCTACAGAGTGGAATCCCAAATTGACCTGATTACATAAGTTCACCTCTACTTCACCTACCCTTCTCTCAGGTCATAGACTTTCAGGGTTTTAAAACTAAAATTTATTATAGAAATATTAGAGTAATAAAGTATAGTTGGATATTGGAAGTTGGATTCTAAGAGACATGTTTAAATCTCAGAACAGTCAGGAGCAGGGAGAATGGTGCCTCTGTTGTTTATGTCCATATCACCTCCCATAGCCATCTGACTCACCTGTATCTCCTGCTCTCTTTCATCAGGGAAGGTTCCCTCAAATCCTTCCTGCTGTTGCTGCATCATTTCTTCCTCTTGCCACTGCATCTCTTCTTCACTGTGCCAGCACTTCTCTTCCTGTCTGAGTTCCAGGTGCTTTTGTTTATGCACTTCTTTGTTGTACAGCTCTTTCATCCTCCAAAGTTCTTTTGGCATCTCATGAAATCCTGCCTCATTAGCATGACTGGTGCTCATACCAGACAGCCTCCAGCTCCATCTCTAGCTTCTCATGTGCCTCCTGGATGTTGTGGTCCACTTGGTCCTGCTGCTGCTTCTTCACCTCAGTAAGTACTTGCCAGCACATGGCATACTCATAAAGGGCCTTGGCTGTGCAAATCTGGGTGATTGCTCTCACTCATGATATTGCTGGTTCTTTATAACCAGCTTCTCTGGAAGTCCCTCTTCATCATTTGATTCATCCATGGACTCCACAGTCACAGGATGAGGAAATGTGGTTAGCAGGAAGGTGCCTTCACTGCACCTGTCCAGAGCTTTTTGAGTGGCTGCCACTCTGAGAATGCTACAATGTCTTTTCCTGAGGGCCTTCCTTGATCATTCACAATGACTACAGCCCTTTCTACCTGGCTGAACACAGAAAAGGTTTCTTCCAACAGTTCATTGGACACATACTGAGGAAGGTTTTGAACTATAAGAGATGCACTATGGCAGGCAAAGTACACACACAGCTGCTTTCCATGGAGTGGCATATTGCCCAGTTCTACCTTGGCACTCTCCACTAGGGTTCATGTTTCCAAGTGGATAAAGCCAAAGCTTTTGTTCTTATGAATGAAGACTTCACCTGCCTCCCCATATTTCTCAACTAATTTCCTCTTCAGTAATAGCAGGAGGGAGATTGCCCACAAAGAGATGGCTATGTTGGGTGAAGGCCTTCTTTCCTGGTTTCTTAAAATTCTTCAGGTCAATAGTCAAGCTTTCATTTTGGCTGCTGGCCTGTCACCCATTTACAGGTAGTGGTGGCAGTGGAGGCTGTTGTTGTTGCTGCTGGTGATAATGTTGATGATGTTTCCTTGGAGTATGATTTTGTTTCTCCAAATTAAAGGTTTTATTGCTCTGCATTTTTGCACCCTCAACTTAGATTGAAGATAGCAAAGTGCCTCCTGGTCCTCTTCAACCTTGACTTCCTCTACAACTATTCTCTCCTTGGAGTAATCACAACTTAATTCTTATCTAATACTCTTTGGGCCTCTCAAAGGGAAAAGCTTGGGAACTACTGATCCTATCCAATCCCCAAACCCAGAAAGGCAAAAAAATCTGACTATCTAGTGACAGACCTCATTTATAATCCAGGATTTTGGACACAGTCTAGTGCTCTTTTTACTTCAACAGACACTTAGTGTTCCAGGTTTTGGGTTACAAGTACTGACTGAGTTCCTTTCAACAGACTTGTCTTGAGTCATGTGCCAGATTCTTGTATCACATTCTAGCATCTCTTCTTCACCTTTTTGTCCCAAAACTCTAGGGGTTTAAGAAATGTAATGAAAAATATGCCAATCTTCTATTCTCACATTGAAGTTTAACTTTTGCATCTACAGCTGCTGCCATTTTCCTCCCTGCCACATAATGCCACTGCTGGGAATGTTTCTCAGAGATGGTATATTTTACAGAGAAGTCACAATTTCCCAGGCCAGAGTGGTTTTTCGAAAGAGGCCTCCTGGGTTGGCTCTGTGGTCTAGTGGTTAAGGCAGCTGGATCTCACACAGGTTACTGTGTGGTTGAAGTCCCAGATTGGCAAAATATGCTGGCACATGTTGAGTGTGTGCCCAAAGTCTCCAAAGGAGGGAGAGATGGAGAAGAAGGGGTTGTAATGTGACCATTCTCCACGTGGGGTACTTTCTCCTCTCTCTCTGGTGAGTGCATGTGCCGTTTAGTGCATGTGCATGCGTGTGCACACACACACAAAAACAAAGAAAAAGGCTCCTTTACTGACAATTCCACGCCAAGCACACCTGCATATGCCATAAGCTCTATGTTCATGTATCCAACCAACCCTTAAGGCCTTAAGGTCTGTTTTCTCTGCTTGATCCTTCAGCCCCCTGCACATGACCACCACTACTATTTTCTTCCAGAGTTCTACCATATCATGTTGGAGTTGGTTTAGGCATTTGTCTATCTTGAAACCCAGAGCTACTATTCCTCTTCCAAGTACTTGGACCTATCATGGAGTTTTGGGGGTTGTGATTAGTTATTTTGCTTTTAGTACTTGAAATAAAAAAATTATCTTCCCCTAAAGATTATAATTGCTTCAGCTTAAAAGAATAGAACATTTGTAGCCCTTAGAGATTTTTTTTAGCCCCTTCAGATGTTTAATCTCTCATCTAATTTCCAAACCTGAGTCAGTTCGTTGACTTAAATCTCTGTGAAAGAAGGAGAGCTCTTCTGGAGAGTGCTTATATAACACTGAACATATGTATTATTAGCCTCATTCTTGACTTTCTTCAAAAACTTTGTGGCCACTTACTCAACGAAAATATAGAAAACCTGCAGGGACTCTGAAGACTTCACCTGCCTCCCCATACAGGGATTCACCTAGGTACTAATGATCTGTAGATACTGATTCTGATGAGTTATAATTCTTGAGGTCTTTGGACACAGAGATGTATATAGTTCAAGTGACAGATACACTGAAACCTCATTTGGGTGAACAGGCTCTCTGAACCCATCCTGTAGTTCTTTCTACACTGAATATTTGGAAATAGCTTCAGCAGTGGCAAAGTCTCTACACTGACTCTATGACCCACAAAGTTGGAATTATGGTAAGAAGGGCTAAGCTGAAGCCAGTGGAACTCCCTTATTCCAAAATAGTAAATCAAAGCAACACTTGCAGGATGGCAGAATATGCCACTCCCAGGTACTTTTTGGAATAAGCATTATTTTAATCCAAAGGCACTTGAAAAGAAGAAGATGCAAGCTGCACTCTCTGACTTCCTTTTCTTCCTGAAAGCAGGAGATAAAAATCTTTATGAAAGATGCTCTCTATATTCCAGGAGGAAAGAAACATTCTTATCATTTGAGATGGGGAGCTGAGGTCAAGAGAATTCTTATAGGCCTTGTTAAAATAACTGCAATCTTTCTTTGGCTTTCCCATATAGCTACTTTCCCAAAATTGACTCTTTGATCAATCCAGTATATAAGTAGTTTGGTTTTGTTATTTCTTTGGGTCATTTTTGTTTTTGGTGAAGACTTCTAAGTATGTGTCTGAGTGTGTATGTGTGTGTGTGTGTGTGTGTGTGTGTGTGTGTGTGTGTGGAGTGTGTGTATGTATGTGTGTGTGTGTGTGTGTGTGTGTATTTATATGTTTTTCTACAGTTAATCTGTTTTATATTAGTTTACTCCTCATGCTCACCTGGAGACCCTAAAAGAGAGGTAAAGTATTTGGGGAATAGTTGAGACTTCCTCCACCATTATTCTGTATGCAGTAAGCACATCCAGGGCTAATTCCACCCTAGCGTTAGAGTCAACTATTGTTTGGGACAATAGCAATGACAACTATCTAGAGGATTGCTGCACAGGTATAGCTGTGGGCTCACAAAAGATCACTTCTGGTTGTGAGGACAGACATTAGTAAACTCGAATGAGACTAAAATTCTCTTTTTTATTGGCTAATAGGACTAGCTTTTATTAACTTCATAAATTAGTTTTTTCTTCCCTTAACAGAAACACATACTTCAAATTATGGCAAAAAACTAATGGGAACCATTTATTTCACACATTTATTTCACATACAAATTTCCAAGAACACATCTAAGTGAATATTAATACAAAACTATGAGTAGACATACACTTATAATTGGTCTTGGAATGCATTCAGACAGAAGCAAAGGCTTATAGTTACACAAGTTAATCAGAGACTCCTTTCACTTGGGGCTTCCCAGCTCCTTCCAGGTTGAGTCTGGTTTGTCACTGGGCATCAGATCTCAGAAAATTGGCTTTCTTCACTTTAGCTACCTGCCATTGGCTATTGAGGTGCTGTCTGCTGTTGAACACGAAGGGCTTGTCCTTTTCCATGACTAAGTAAGCTCCTGGGTTGACTTGGCTGTCACAGCATCCCTTTCCTAAAGCATAAAATGGATTCAGGATGGCCCAGATGATGCATTCAGTGGTAAGCTAGGCAGGTAGCTTGGTCTCATAACCTCTTTCTCATCTCCACTATGCTCCATAGCCTCATGGAACAGTAGAGCCAGAGTAGTCTTGGCAATCAAGTTCAAACTCTCTTCAGATAAAGAACTAAGGCTAGAGACATTATAATTTGTTAAATAACACTCATTAAGTGGTAGCGACAATATTAAAACTTATCTCTTTTGGTTTCTGGTCTAATGCTCATTATTCCTCGATAGCAGGCTGCCCTGAGTGGTTTAAGTATATGCGAAGTTTTCCTTATTAAAAAACTGAGGTTTCTTTCCAGATGAATAAACTAGGTTGAATGTGTAATAAAATCACTGGTAAGAATTGGAGGTATTTATGGGAGTAATAAAGCAACTGTGGGCAAAAACATATAAGCCCAATTTCCAAAATGCCTTAGATGTCAGAGAATAAAATGTCTGTTTATACTATTTTTCAAAAATAGGATTTGACACAATTTCCAAAGAAATAAGACAAAATTAAATCAATATAGGTTTAGGTAGTTGGTTGAGGTGGGCTGTATGTTTTGTTGAGCTTTCTGTAACAGCCAGAACAGAGAGAAAAACAGTAAGTTATAAAAGTCACAGTGTTTATAAGATTATAAACTAATTTTTTGGCTTAGGATCAGAGCTTTCCTTGGTACTGAATCTAGAAAAAAAACCTTCCCTATGGATTTTCATAAAGGCAATGAGAAGTGATACAAAGACACATTGAGCAGAACATGATTATTCATTTTACCTTACATGCCCCAGCTGAAGAGAGAAAATGCAGGAAGGCAAATAGTCTTGGCTAAGATGGTGGGTAAAATCTTCTATTTCTTCAGAACAGAGACAAATATTATTAAATTAATTTAATATATATCCAAACAGCTCATTTGCAAATAGGAACATTGGTAGGGGAACCTAAATTCCACCTCAGCTTGATCCTAGGCATATGAGAATGAAATAGTTATCAGTTCGTTTCACTAGAGATGGAATGGGTCTTTAACCTTTCTTGTCTTGGAAAAATGTGAGAGATGGAGGCACAAAATATGGCTTTGAGCAATTTAGAGAAACTCTTATAAATGAAGATGATTTTTTTCATGACTGAGTAACCAATCTTTTGTAGTTGACATGGATATAAGTAGTATTACCTTTTGCTTCAGGAGTTCCTTACCATATTTTAAGTTCCATGAGTATAGGAACCATGCCCCCTTTTTTCATTTTTGTTTCCCTCCCTGTGGATAGAACATTGCCTTACACATAATGGTGCTTAATAAATATTTATGAATAAGTCATCTACTTTCCTGAATCATGCTTCCATATAATTATCAATCCTGGGTACATATTACTAAGTGGTAGTTTCTATTAATGCGCATCTTCTCTAGAGTTGGAATTCCAGAACATCTACACAATATAAGCACAAGCTCAATGGCACCATATACATTGTACTGTGCTAGGCACACAATCAACGTGAAACTGCACTTACCATTAGAAGTCTATAATTCAGACAACACAGAAAATCAAACTATTAAGATGTGAACACTCATAACATTTCCAACAAAAGTAAATCAGAAACATTAATCAATGTTTACCTGAGTCACCTGCCTTCCAACGGTTGACCATATCCTATTCTGGTGCCATAAACTGGATTTCTTTCTACAGTACGTTCCCTCCTTGGTACTTTGCTGAACAGGTCTCAAAAGATTCAAACATACTGAAAGGAAAAATATTATCTCCAGATGTCTTTGAATAAGAACATTTGACAAGGGAAGGGAGAGAGGAGCAAACGAATCTACACACAGCTCCGAATCTGGTTATCCTTCCACTAAACCTGTGACTTCTCCCTCCCCAAAACAAAGCCATCCTTGGTTACCTATGTATTAAGGATATAGTTGGTTTTATCTTGAAGCAACTAGCTTTGGAAAATTAAATTCCTGGGTTTCATTTGTAACTCTCTATCTGAATTAACTATACCCTCAGATTATTTCAATATTTACTGAGCTAGTGCTAAGGGGTTATCATAGACTTTTTTTTTTTAGACAAACAGGTAAACAAGGGAAACAAAAATGGTGCTCTGGACTGGAGATTTCTATGTCTTCACTTTTATTCAGTGAGCTATAGAGTTGTATAAATTATTCAGGCCTCTATAATAGGTTTATGATTCTATGAACAGGAACTAAACACTTCAGAAACAGGTATATTTAACAGCTAGCCCTAGAAGTTTGGTCTAGACTGAGGTGGCCATCAGATTTAAAGTAGGCCTATGGAGTCTAACTGGTCTTAGAAACATTACATGCTTCAGTTCTCTATCACATTTCTTCCCTATCCCCTAAAAGTTTTAGAAACACCACTATAAAATATTTTACTAAGGTGTAGAGGTGGGAAGTGTAAAATATGCCAACATACTGGTCACATTCTAGATAAGAGCCAGAGAAGTTACAGGGTAGAACTAGAATGTGTCTGAAATTCTACTTTAAAGAGACACACCACGAGCATGCATCCTATTCAATCTGAGGAGGGCATGATAGTTCAGAAGAGTCAGACAAGAGCACCCAGAACAATTAAGAGGTAAGTATAGTATTTAAGATAAACAGTACAAGGAACTGGGATTACGTATAGGCCGAAGAAACAGTAAGCAGCCTAGGAGATTTAAGTCTTCAGATACACAAAAGGATGATGGGTGATCAATTGCTTCTCAACACTATGGAGGCCAAGGCAGTAGTAACATGATTTCAAATGACATACTGGGATTCAATCCTATTTGTCAACTTCTTAGCATGATAAAGGTACACTGTAAAAGACTTCTGAAAGATGCTATAAAATCTTCATTCTTCTTTTGTGAATATCTTCAAAACCAAGATGGAGTTAATGCAGTTATAATTTGATTCCTGAAAGTTCTACTCAAATGTGAAAATTTGTTTACAAGTTGCATCCAGGATCTCATGTAGTAGATAATGAAAAAATAAAACAGCATTTTTTGAATCTCCTTTAAAACAACTCTTACCCACACTGAAGGATTATGAACGTTGCTGAATTTAGCAATCCAACACCAGTCGCTTCAACCTACTGAAGATGATTTCATTCTGAACTCAGACAATGTATCTTCTCCACTTTGGTAAAGGAGAAACTGAGACATGGATAAGGAAAGGAATGGATTTATCAAGTTAGAGGCAGAGGTGAGAACAGGATGAAAGTCTAGTCTATTTACATTCTCAAGTTTATCTTGAGAATTATTCTTTATATCTAATAAAAGATCACTTCCAACAGAGATTAGGGTAAGATGGCTAAAGGGACATTGAGAAAGAGATCATCAAAAAGTTTTCCTGAACTCATCAGTCTTTCCCTTATGTGGGTTCTCTGGGGAGTACATAGATGGAGGGTGTGGCAGAAGCCTCTCTCTCACATGAACTTCCCGGTGTTTGGTAAGAACAGAACTCTTACTGAAACGTTTGCCACACTGGCCACATCCATAGGGCTTCTCTCCAGTGTGTATTCTCCGATGTTCTCGAAATCTTGTACAGTTATTGAAACTTTTTTCACAATCCACACATTTGTAGGGATTCTCACCTGTGTGGACTCTCCGGTGGGCACTGTAATGAGAACTGTTGGTAAAGCTTTTCCCACACTCTCCACACTGATACGGCTTCTCACCAGTATGGGTTCTCTGATGTATAATAAGACTAGAGCTTTGACTAAAGCATTTTCCACATTCTCCACATCTATAGGGTTTCTCGCCTGTGTGGATTCTCTGATGGGCACCAAAATTAGAGGAGTCGTTAAAGCTTTTCCCACAGTCAAGACATTTAAAAGGTTTTTCTCCTGTATGTATTCTTTGGTGCCTGATTAAGCTTCTGCTTCTACCAAAGCACTTCCCACAGATACTACATTTATAAGGATTTTCCTTCTGATGAGTCATCCGACACATAAGACGAGCACTCCTTCCAAAGCTTTCTCCATATTTGAGTAGTCTGTAGGGTCTCTTCCCCAAGAAAGGCCTCTGATGCACTACCACTTTCTCTAAATCTCTAGGCTGAGACAGAAGCTTTCCCTGTCTAATTCCTTGGAGGTTTTCCCATTGTCTTCCTGAGATGCATTCCCTTTTACAGTATTTACCAACATCAACATTCTGAGAAGCAACTCTTTTAGACTTTTCTATTAATGTCCTATGCTGTTCCATGCCCTTGTATGTTACCTGTGTTGAATCCTCCTTGATATTACTTCCAATTTCAAAATCTGGAAGAACAAGCAAGCAATATGTCCTATTAACATAAACAATACATTGGTTTGTTATGATCTCTGTATATATTTTACTGCCCTCAGATCCTATGACTCTTCCCTGATTCACATTTTCCTTCAGTTATATGAACAAGCCAATAACAGTACACATTGGGCCTTCAGAAATGTTTTCTGAACTGAATTATAATCCAAGTCATTACTCCACACCTGCATCCTAATTTACATGGTAAAAACCTTGGTTCCTTGAAGTTTCACTCTAATCTTCCCAGTTTTTGTTGTTTCACATTTACACTAACATAAGCTACTCTATACTAGTCTTTAAAGCAGATTCTATGACCAAATCCAAATCCCTCAAGGGACTTCTAAATTAATATACAGTCTTATCTCACACAAAAATACTTCTTAAATGTTCATCACTTTGTTTCCCTGGCTGACAGACTGACCACACTAATTCAAATCTTAATTCTCACTGTTCCTAAAACTAGAATTATCTTCTCATCTTTTTTATCCATATTCCATGTTCACTACAAAGTACATTTTGAATTCAGTTTTTCTGTAACTTTTTCAGGACAGAGAGCATGATATGGTGAAGAGACACAAGCTTTGTAACCACACAGCTCTGGTTCTGATCCCATCTTGGCCATTTATTAACTGTGTGATTTTTGTACTAACTTTGCATTATGGGTGATTAGAACATATAGAAAAGAGAACAGTATGTACATACAGTGAACTCGCACTTACCTATCATTAACAATAATCTATTATGTATCGTCTCTATTTCTACATACTTTTCCTCCCTCTAGTCAGGCTACCTTGAAGCAAATTCCAGATACTGTATTATTTCATTCATAAACATTTTATAAGCTACATAACTTAAGCTCAATTCAGGTATGCTTGATTCTCAAACCTTTTTTCTTAAGCACTGGCTATACTGCCTTGTTTCTCTTTGCCGGCTTCAGTATCAATTTCCTTCTGTACATTAAGCTGAAGTTGCTGATAACTCTCAGATGAGAACAGCCATCAACTAATCCCTTAACTTAGATAAAAAGTCCTAACAACACCATCTTTCATTTAGAAATAGTTCTTTTGAAGCTTTCTGAGTCTTATAATGCTTTGTAATTTGAAGGAAGTCATAGCTTAGCAGTTGGTTCAGACAGAGCCTGATAATTTGATGACCAATTTGGATCCCATCCTTAAAAATAAGATTGATAAAGACATGGTTTATAGAGTTAACAAAACCTGGGTTATAAAAGACTTAATTTAAGTCTTCACATTATAATTTTTCACATAAATACTACCAGAAAGAATATGTATAAAAATCCTTCCTCTAATACAACTGGGTGTTACTTTCTCTTTCTAGATTCCAGTTCTAGTCAGTTGAGGCAAACTAGAGACATTTGTTTGAAGATACCAGCCCTGTACTACCTCACATATTCCAATATATTCTGGAGGCTTTAGTGTAGTGCTACAGAAAGACAGAGCTCATGTCCTTCATAAGCTTACTATTTACTGGAAGATATCAGGACAAAGCGTTCAGTGTCCCAAGACAGAGACAGACACAGTATGGAAATCAAGAGAGAATTTGGGCATGGAGATAAGTAGAACCAAGGATGTTCAAGGTAGAGGAGACATTGTGATCTAAGGCTTAGACATGAGACAAGTTAAGGTAGAAAAGAGCAAGAATGGTAAGTAGTTTTGTTTTGAATGAGCATAGAGTGTAGGAAGGAAAACACTTTTGACATGTAAGCCTGAAAGATTAAGGTGGGGGGTTCAGACTAAAGATGACTGTGAAACCTTAATAAATTTTTGTAGTAGTCTAGGCAAGAGATAGACTGAATTAGTATAGTGGGTAGAGTAACTAAAGAGGAGGACAAAGAGACATGATAGTATATAATAGTTGACAAAATGTATGATATTCCTGGATGTAAACAACAGGTGAGGAGGTATCAAAATTACTTCTTGGGACCAGCAGTTAGAGTAATGGCTATGTTGCTGGACTCCCATGTAGTCGAACATGGTTCGTGTCCCAGACCCGGTGGCTTAAAATTCACGCTGGGCACGTGTGCATGCGTGCCCAAGATCCCGAGAGGAGAATGGAGGAAAAGGGATTGCAGCGTGACCATTCTCCCTGGGGGGTGATTTCTTGCTTTCTATCTCTCTGTCTCTCTGTCTGTCTGGTGAGCGCACACGCTCTATAGCAAAAACCTCTCCAAAAAAAAAAAAAAAAATTCCTTCTCAAGTTTTAAGTCTAGAAAAGTGTGGGAGAACATAGGGAAGAGCCATGATGTGGGAAGGAAGATAGTAATTTTGGCTTTAAACATTTTTAAAAAATTGCCAGAGGGTACATGTACTTGTCAGAGACAGAGAGAAAGAGAGGAAGAGGGAGGGGGAGAAAGCACCTGCAAAAGGACACAGTCACATTGCAGTCCCCTTTCCTCCATTTTTCCATCCTGTCAGAATTTGGGTACACACACATGTACTGGTGTGTTTCTCAAGCCACCAGAACTGTGATCTAAACTGTGGTCAGCCATGTGGGATCTGGCTCCCTTAACCATTAGGTTAATAATATATATGTATAATTTAAAAACAAATAATTATTTATTCAATTTTATTTGTTACTATTATTATTATTATTATTATTATTATTATTATTATTATTATTATTATTATTATTATTTTAATTTGACCAGAGAGAGGCAGAAAGAGAAAGAGGAAAGTGAGAAAGCAAGCCACCAGATCTGGGACTTGAACTGTGGTTGGCCACGTGGGAGTCCAGTGCCTTAACCACAATGCCACCTGCTGGTCTCTAGGCTAATAATATTTTAAGTATGAGCTGCTAGTAAGATGCCCATGAGGGCGCTCTGCAGTCAATGGGAGACAGACAGATGGAACTCAGGACCAGAATAAAGTCTCTCATTATTTTGTCTCTGCTTATCTTTCTTTGCATGCACATTTCACATAACTATGAGACACTTATCTCTTGAGCTTACTGACACTTTCTTTATCCAAGTTCTGTTTTCATGTATATTTCCAAGTCCTTCTCAATAGTATTTCTAGTAGATGCAAAACACTGACTCATACTGACAAAAAACAAGTTAAGATCTCAAAGTCTCATTGATAGTTTTTTTCTTTAAAGAGCAGTACCACAAAAACAGGAGCTGCTTTATTCATTGCCCTGTTCTTCAAACAGCACGACATTCAAATATTTGTTAAACTGGTAAATATTCATGAGTGATATGCCAGATTGGCTAATTTTTCATTTAATAACATTTCCTCTTCTTTTAGACTAAAACCTGATGATTCTTACCATGTGAGCTTTCCAGTAGACCTGGAGGTCCCTGGAATACTGTCTCTTGTACAATTTCCTCCTCACTCATTTTCTCACTGCAAGAATCTTCTATTACTGTCTCCTGTGAAGTCTCCTCAGGTTCCCAGCCTATAGGTTCTTGGGGTTCAACCTCAATAACCCCTCTTTCTTGCCTTGAGGGTAATGGGACTTCTGGGTTATTGGAGGCAGGAGCAGGTGCCCTCGAATTAATTAGGGCATCCATCTCCTTGTAGAATGCGCAGGACTCTAGTACATGGCCATTTTTCACTTTGCGGTAGCTCTTCTGAAGGCTTTTGAACTTGGTTCTGCACTGTTCTGGTGTCCGTAGGAAGCCACACTCCCGAAGTTGTTCAGCCACGGCCCCATACAATTTGCTTTTCCGATGACAGGCTTGAAGAGCTTCATAAAACCGAGTCTCACGGAGGATATCAAGAAAAGTCTTAGTTTCTTCATAGCCCCAGTGTACACCTACCATTCAATGATAGTTAAAAAATATAAGGAATCTGCAGCCTCCATAATACACTATTATAAAACGTAAGAAAAAAAAATCAACCACATTCACAGTAGCAACAGGAACTGTGATATGCCTAGGAATAAGCTTTCTAAGAAATGAAAAAGTCTTCAGAATACCTGCAATATTTATTGAGAGGTATAAAATAACTAGAAAAAAATTGAGACACTATGTTTCTGTACAGGAAGATTGAAGCTGTACAGAAGTCAATTTTCAAATGAATTCATAAGTTAAAATCCCAACAAGATTTTTAAAACTGAAATGCTTAATCTGACCTCAAAGTTTAGTTGGAAGAGTAAAAATGTAGTACCCTAAATCTGTGACTGCTATGCTGATTAATAAATGAACTTAAGTGTCCAGAAGTGTCTTTCCAAAGTGGTTAAGAATGATGAATTAGAGAACATGCAATAGTTCCTATAATTTCTTTAACCAGTTTTTTTTTTTTTTAACTTGCCAGAGGGCATGTGCACTTGCCAGAAAGAGAGAGAGAGAGAGAGAGAGAGAGAGAGAGAGAGAGAACGAACCTCACAATTCCTTTTGCATTTCTCTATCCTTTCGGAATTTTGGGCACTTATGAACATGCACCTGGAATTCTTTTCAAGTTACCAGGCTTGGAACTCAAAACATGTGGTTAGGATGTGGGTTCTGTCACCCTTAAATACCAGACCACAGATTGGCCCTAACCAGTGTTTTTTAAGGAGAAAAACAATGTCCAGAGTAGCTTCTGATTTAGTCCTGGACATGGAGAGACCAAATGATCTGCAAGACAAACAGAAGTTCTTCATTTAAAGCAGAAAAAAACTTTTCAGAACATGTCTGAATATAATTTGTTTAATATACTTTTTGTGCGTAGGAAGAAGTGATTTATACCTTCTCTGTTTCTAGGTGGTATCTTCCAGTCCTGTAACTGGCTTTCTTTATTTGAGACCATTCCAAAAATTTCACTCTCATACTGAAGGGTTTTCACATTGGTAAATAAATGCATATGTATAAGGCATCTTCTTATTTTCAGTAAATCAACTTCTTTTTAACAGGTATAGTTATGAACATGCTTCTAGCTCTCCTAGCCTGATTTAATTTTTAATTTTCTATTCTAAGAACATACCATGTGTTTCATAAGCTAGAGTAGATAAACATTGCTAATAACAGTGATATCAGGCAGTGGTATAGCATCTTCAGAGTGCTTCATTCATTATTATTCCATTTAACATTGATAACAACCATGTGAGATATTCTTAAGTCATATATGTATTTTTTCTTTATGAAAGACAGACAGAAAAAGATGGAGAGAGAGGGCGAGAGGGAAGAGAGACCGGAAAGAGAGACAGTAAGAGGCATTTTTGATTGGGTCTCGCAGTCACAATCCTCTTGCCCCAGCCTCCTAATTAGCTAGTATAGGCATGAGCAATTATGTATGGTAGGCCTGGGAACCAAACCCAGGTCTCCTATTCAGCTTCCAGTCTCTCAGGCAGTGCACTACCTGCATACCACCATGGCTGGATCCAGTCATATTTTATAGATCACAAATTAAATCTCAAAGTAGTTACATGATATGTGTACTGCCACCCAATTAACTGGCAGTTTACTTCTGCATGTCCCAGTCCCCAAATATTCAAAGGCAGTTTTCTTTTGCATGCTGTATCTATCTTTTAAATTTTAATGTCTCTCAGTTCTTATGTTTAAAATATATCTCTTCTAAGCAACATATTGTTGGTTTTCTAATGTCTAAAAATCTTAACCTCTTAAGGTTTGTAATGACATACTTGGATTTAGATCTACATCTATTTTTTTCATTTGATTAATCCATTTTGTGTTCTTTTCTCTATGTTCTTTTAAACAACAATTTTTATTTCACTTTTTCTCATTTAACTTATTAGTTACATATTCCTTTACTAGTTATCCTAGACTTATTACAACCTAATACAATTAATTGCTTTATACCAATTTTCAGATAATACTAGATCCTCTCATTCCATTTATCGTTTTTACCACGAGGCTCTAGATGCCAAAATCCCTGTTGTGTTCTAAAACGAAAAAGACTCCTCTATGGCTACTCAGGGCTATTACTTTGACTGTATAGGGAGCAGCAACACACATCAGAGAGTACCTCTAGTTACGTGGTTACATAGTGGAAAAAGTGGCAATGTTATGTGACAGCACTTCAGGTTTGATTGCTTCTAGTTTACTTAATTTTCCATAAGACTACACATCTATTTTCATACCAGAAAAAAAAAAAAGCACAATTCTTACCACTCAGGTTTTGTAACAAGACAGGAGCACCACGAATCTCAGATCTGCGGATAAATTCAATGCCCATTTCATCACCATCAGAATCTTCTGCTTCTTCTGCCTCCTCCACTAAACTGATCTGTTCTTTAGCACTGATACTAATTCTCTTTAACCTGGGGAGAGGTATCACCTCCTTTGGCTTGTCAGTGGATGTAGCATGGGCTGCAGGGTTCAGCAAAGCATCCATATCCTCAAAGAAGGCACAAGGTTCTAGTATGTGGCCATTTCTCACTTTTCGATAGCTTTTCTGGAGACTTTTGAACTTAGTCCGACACTGTTCTGGTGTTCGGAGGAAGCCACATTCTCGCAACCACTCAGCCACAGCACCATACACCTGGCTATTACGAGGACAAGCCTGGAGTGTTTCATAAAAGCGAGACTCTTTGAGAATTGCAAGAAAAGTCTTTGTTTCCTCATAGCTCCAATGCACACCTGCAATTTTTTCATCTTCTAAACCCCACTGCTGCTGTTCTCTCCATGTTTTTCCTGCATTCCTTGTAGGGATCTGAATAGCATGAACTGACTTTTCTTTGATATAGCTGCTTCGTAGGACATTTCTCTTATTAGAGGAATGTAGGCCTATAGCCCATGGCTCCTTCCTTTGTTCCAACCGGACCATCTTGTTAGATGTAGACACTGTACTTCCTACAATTAAAAAATTTATTTTTATGGGAGACAGAGAAATCATTACTGCATTACTCAATCTTCGCTGTAGCTTGCCCTCCTGGACCACTTGTTAATACTAAGGTCTTCCTCAAAAATATCTTTTTTTCTTTTTCTGAAATCTCTTCTGTTACATTAAGGGAAAAAATAATCTGTGATTTCACTTAAAAATTTTTTAAAAAGTTTTTGCTATAGGGCATGTGTGCCATCACCAGAGAGAGGGAGAGAGAGAGAGAGGTCACCCTCCAGGGAGGATTGCTACATTGCCATCCTTTCTCCTGCATTCTCTTCTCAGGATTTTGGGCATGTGAGTACACGTATCCAGTGTGATTTTTCAGGCTGCCAGGTTCAGGACTTGAGGGATCCAGCAGCTCTAACCTCCACACCACCTGCTGGTCTGTGACTTCACATTTTAAATTATTGCTATAAATATATATTTTAATAAATATTTATCAAAGCCAAAAAATTCATGAACTCAAACCAAGAACTTCTGGAGACATTTTGGTAAGATTAATACATAACCGTTGTATTAAAAAGCAAACTGAGGTTGTTATCTTACAATACTGAAGAGATCAACACTGCTTATGTTACTTCGTCATGAGGATAAGTTTTTCTACCTCTGTAAGTCCCAGTTTTCTGGGGAATGATACCATTTATTCAAAGAAGAGCTGGAAATATTAAATAAAGGCAATGTACATAGAAACTTCATGGAATTCTCCCAGAGAAGCAACATCAAATTGAACTCTTCTGAAAGAAACATGATGATGGCTATTTACTCTTTATTTTCAGATGAGAGAAACAGGCATGGAGACAAACAAGTTTAGAGGTCTATAAAGACTTAGGCAGGCAAAATACATGAGTGAGGTGGCTAGAGTAGGAATTACAGCAGTTAAGCATGAACTCTTTAATCAGCTGTTGCTATGTATGAAGCTGGGTCCATGGAGCCTGATACTTGATTTCTCAAGAGATACAGGAAATATAGACGTACAAACTAAGTTTAAATTAAAGCTCTATGAGGACCAGCAGTTGGTGTGATGGCTATGTCACTAGACTCTCATGTAGTTGATGGCGGTTAGAGTCCCAGATCCAGTGGCTTAAACTCATGCCAGGCATGTGTGCGTGTGTGCCCAAGATCCTAAGAGAAGAGTGGAAGACAAGTGATTGCGGCATGGCCATTCCCCCTGGGGGGTGATTTCGCTTTCTGTCTCTCTGTCTTTCTGGTGAGTGCACACACCCTATAGCAAAACCCTCTCCCCCCCCCAAAAAAAATTAAAGCTTTATGTAGGCCAAAACATGTGCATAGGCCACATGCAGCCCATGAACCATTGGTTTAAAATTTACCATAAAAGATTGGGGCGGGTGTCTCTGAGTCTGGGTCTTTCCATATGGGATTATATATAAAAGGGTAAGATTAAATTTGAATTCTCTAAGTATGGTGCCCCTTCATTAGTAGAAGATTTCACTAAGGACTCTACTTCAGCATTCTGCAATGTCTGGACACTGTGGGATCCAAGGAAATGGTAGGAAACTTGTATTGTGTACATAAGTATACAGATGGCTGGGATGCCTGCTGTTTTAAGAAAAGTGCTTTGTAACTGGTGTGTCAACTTAAATTGGTGATTTTTTCCAACTGCTTTCTATTGGGTCATTTGGAAAATCATGACACAGTTTTGCATAGGAAAACACAGAAAAATATGTCCTGACTTTCCCGATGACCCAATCATTATAAATAACTGTTGGGTATACTTTTGCTCATTTGATTGGATACAGCTCACTTTATAACCTTTGTACTTTAGCGTCTATATGTATATGTGTAGTATCATCTAATGAAACCTTCTGTGATGTTCTACAACTGTGCTGTCCAATACAATTATCAAATACTTTAAACATGGTTACTGAGGAACTACATTTTCAATTTTATTTTAATTAATGTAATAAATTTAAATTTAAATTTAAATAGCCACATGTGGCTAGTGGCTACACAATTGGAGAAGATTATAATATTATAAACCTCCTATGTTATAGCTAGGTCTATAATATCAATAATGTGCTTTTGAAGTTTATTATTTACTTCTTCCATGAGTGTGAAAGACACACACACACACACACACACACACACACACACAGCACCCTCATACCACAATCCAACCCCAGCCTCAGACAGCCAGGACCATTGGCATGCATGTATGTGTGCAGTATGTACAGAGAGACCTTGGATGGAAACCTAATACTTTCCCTGATGGCCTCAACATCGTGCAGCATTGCATTACTGTGTATCACTGTGTTTGGTCAGTTTTTTTTTTTTTTTTAACTGAAAGGAAAGAAAGAGTGAAGAGAATATGAATAAGCGATTATACCAGATAGTCCATGGAGATTCTTTAAGTGACTATTTTACTACCAGTAGATATGAATATTTAAAAAATCCTGAGTCTTTTATTTGAAAAGGGAAAAAATCCTTACCCAGGGAGATCATGTTCCCAATATTCTCCTTCCTGATATCCTGGTAGAAATCTCTGTGAGCAGGAATCTGATGTACATTCTTTTTGTAGGAAAAACCTCCCATCATGTGGACATCTTTTACTGGGTCCTGTAACAACACTAAAACCAGTGACTACCTGATAACACATGGGTCTTCAAAGGATGAACAATCATGGATGAAAACAAGAAGGGCCCTAAAGAAGAAAAGAAATCAAGGAACCAAGTGTATATTATGTGCCAAATGAACAAAATAATAAAATAAAGAATCATAAGATGGGATTGGTAAGAGAGATGATCCATCAAAAAGGCCCATTACTCAGAAACCAGGGTCCAATCTTTCCTGGAAAAGGAATAATGAGGAAAAAATCTTGTGGAGGAAATTATAAAAACCTGAGGTTAATGAAGACAGAAAAGCACTGTGGCTAAACACATTAGAAAAGAATGACAGAGAAGACAATTAAAATTTTACCTGAGACCCAGTAGAAAGATGTGTGGTTGTCACTTCCTGATTCCATTCTTCAACGGGGGTAGGAACCCAGAGAGAAGGCTGAGCTGTAAGAAGAGAAAGATTAGTTAGTATTCTGAGTTCTGGATCTTTAATTCATGCTGCTTCTCCTTTTAAAAAAAGGAGTATACATTTAAAAATCAACAAATATAAATTGATAATCTTTTCAATGAGTTTGGGACAACGTCAAAAATCATGGTATCACAAAGTCCAGCTCACAAACTCTAATGTTTTTGGAAAGTAAGCAGATAAAGTTCAATATGAAAGGGGCCAGGTGAGGATGGTGGGAGACTGGAGAGTGCATGTCCAGTTGAAAGGGCACAACCAATGCTCAGCCCCAGCTGAGGCTTCATTGTAAGACTGTGGCTCTGGTACAACCAGAATTTCTAATGTTTCAAGAGAAGCCAGAAATCTGGACTTTATGTGAAAATCTTAAAGGTCTTAAACTTTATGAATGAAAAACAACCAGTCAAACTCCAAACAAAAACTGTATATGAAATGAAGTTAAGTCTAACTTGATATGCAAAGGTACAGTTTATAATTGCCGGAATAAATGAATCCTCTGTGAGTGAATATCATTCTAGCATATATTGGGGCCGACATGCCGTGTGGTAGTTAAGGTGGTTGGATTCCCACATGGCTGACTGTAGTTCGAGTCCCGGACCTGGCAGCTTGTTTTCTCACTTCCCTTCTCTCTCTCTGTCTCTCACTGGTCAACTTCAAAAATAAATAAATAATAAAATAATGACAATGAACAAAAGTAAAAATAATTCTAAAAAAAGAGAATTTAGCACATATGGATCTATAGTAACGGACACTACTGGCACATTTACCTACGTCTAACAGAGGAAAGAATTTAAATACACTTAAAAATACATCTCAATCTGTTTTCTATCTTCTTCCCTAAACTTCTCTATGTAGGG